GAGAATAAGATAGCAAGCAATAAAAAAGCGTAAAATAGCAGCGTAATTACTACGCTGTATTTTGTAAAACGTTGTTTGTTACATGCCTTTCATTCTTATTCTTAGTTCTTAGTCCTCAGGGTAAATGCATTCACATTTTTATTCTCATTTGGGAATTGGTATAAGGGCTATATATCCACTTATCATCATGTAAGCTCAGTGCCGGATTAACCACGTAGCATGAGTAGCAATTGGTACTGGCCCCGCGCAAAAGGGTGCCCCGCATATCCAAACCCGCCCATTACTGCCTAAGCGTAATTTTTTCAGTGAAACTTAATAAGATATGGTATATTGAATTTACTTGACGTCACAAAAATGTGAAACGTTACACCTTTCTCGACTGACAATCAGTAACCGATTATTTCATTGGCGAAAATAAAACACAAAATTTCATACGGTAAACGCACATGTTTTACCGCCCACCACGACGAGTTGCCTTGACATATGATCTGACACAACTGGTCACTTCGTCCACGCGGATACAAGATGTGGAGGATCATCCGGACAGATATCGGGTCCGGATACCGTCGATGCCCCACTTGGCTATTTAGGTCACTGTCTGATCCGGAATACACCACCCATCGCTTGCTCATTGCAGGCATGAGCTGTAGGCTGCCGCCATCTGTGGTTTAACTCAGTGAATTGGGATTCGATGCGGGCTTTTTTTGGGCTTTCCAATTCTTTTACTTTTAGGAGTATGTGTTGGTTTTTTTTTATAGGATAGGGTGACAAAAGGGGCACACCTGATGTCAAGTGGTTGCTGTGTCCTATAGACATCTACATTTATTATCGTTTGCGAATCAAAATGCAGATGCGTTGTCACCCGTGAGGACTAAAGTGGAATGCCTTTTTTCCAATAAAATCTCCGGCTCTCTACACACACCATATGAAATACAGCAGTGTTAAGCTGCTATTTTACGCTGGTATTCTGTGAGAGCGTGGTCTTCCCCCGGTCGAGTCGACCCACTACACTACTTTCGTACGTTCGTGCTACAACTATACCTACTAATAATATAGCTGCAGCATGGCTCTACCACGTGTAAAGGTTTTTGTTTTTTTGGGTTTAGTTTGATAAAAAATATAACTAATATTTCAGAAAGGAACAATCATCTTTATATTCGCCTAATAATTTAACTCCTCTCCATGAAATCTGTCAAATATTTTCACCTCATCCCTATGTGGCAGTGCTCGGGTGGCAAGAAAAAGTTGTGGATGCCCACATTATGTAATATTTTAGTAGTCGGTAATAAAACCGCATCTTAACGTCTACTTCTTGACACTTTATCTTCAAGATAAAGTTTAACGAGCACCGATATCATCTCAGACCATTAATAACAGTACTCGATCCAAGCTTGGGATATTTAATTTTGTATTTTTGTCGCCAAGGGATCCGGTCCACACAGAAGCGTTGCCGGTGATTGACCCATACATACGACAAATTGATTTTGGGACGTAATTTCATGAAATATTTCTATTTCATTTATGGTGACTGTGTTTTATTATTCTGATATTTAGATTGACTATCGGCTCATTTTTAATGTTTTTTTTTACAGAGAATAAGGGTGGCAAACGAGTATATAGTCCACTTGATCGTAAGTGGATGTTGTGGGTTGTGGCCCATAGACATCTACATCTATTCTCGATTAAGAAGCAAAATGAAGATGCGTTGTCACCCTCGGGGACCAAGTTGAATTGGCTCATTCCAGTAAAAAGGCATACTTAACTATACAAAGGTTTTGGCTTTGTACTACTTTCGCGTATAAGTTTGGTAGTTTTCACGCAATATCTTCAAAAGTCGGTGGTAAAACAAAGACCTCCGACTTCATAAGCTATTATGTGAAAATTATTTTATTAATTTTAGTTTTGTACGTGGTAGAGTCATGCTACAGCTATATTAATAGTATAGTTGCGAAGAGATGTTGCATCTCTTTGCATTTTCTTTCGCATCTACCATGGGGAGTGCTCTGAGGAATTGTTCGGATTAATCCCAGCCGCCAAATTTCATGAACGCACATCGCGGCAGAACTCCCGATACCATCCACACCATCTGGATGATTGGCGGTCCACCACTGTGCGATTTAGAAGATGTTTTCTTCCTCGCACGACTTCCTTGTGGAATCGATTACCATCAGCGATTTTTCCGGACCGATACGACTTAGGGACCTTCAAGAAAAGAGCCTACTCCTTTTTAAAAGGCCGGCAACGCATCTGCAATTCCCCTGGTGTTGCGGTTGTTCATGGGCGGCGGTAGTCACTTACCATCAGGTGAGCCGCATGCTCGTTTGCCCCCTCTCCTATAAAAAAAAAAAAAAAAAAAATAGTTGTAACACGAATGGGTCGGCCTGGGGAAGAACCACGCTCTCATAGAATACTATCGTAAAATAGCAGCTCAACGCTGCTGTGTTCCGTATGGTGAGTGTAGAGAACCGGAGACCCATTTTACTGGAAACGAGACATTCCATATTAATCCTCAAGGGTGACTACGCGTCTGCATTTTAATTCTTAATCGAGAATTTAGATACCTCTATGGGCCACAGCAACCACTTACCATCAGTTGGACTCTGGTCGTTTTTCACCATTATGCTAAAAAAAATATTTAAATTTTATTTTGCTGCCAAGATTTTTATCACCTTTAGTAAAATTTTAACTTTACAGTAAATTATATCATGCTATAGAATATAAATTTTTATTAGTGATTGATGCATTTATCGAGTGACGTGCAGTTTCGTGGTCACTTGGAAGAGAAGGCATAAATTGGCCTCTAAAAAGCTTGGCGTGCTCAGCAGTGCGGGACAGTATTTCATGCCGGCACACCGCCTGCAACTTTACAAGGCGCAGGTTCGGCCTCACATGGAATACTGTTCCCATCTCTGGGCAGGGGCTCTCCAGTGCCAGCTCCTTCCACTTGACCGCATCCAGCGCAGAGCGGCTCGAATCGTCGACGACCGAGTCCTTTCCGATCGGCTCGATTCATTGGCACTGCGAAGAGATGTTGCATCCCTTTGCATTTTCTTTCGCATCTACCACGGGGAGTGCTCTGAGGAATTGTTCGGATTAATCCCAGCCGCCAAATTTCACGAACGCACATCGCGGCAGAACTCCCGATACCATCCACACCATCTGGATGATTGGAGGTCCACCACTGTGCGATTTAGAAGATGTTTTCTTCCTCGCACGACTTCCTTGTGGAATCGATTACCATCAGCGATTTTTCCGGACCGATACGACTTAGGGACCTTCAAGAAAAAAGCGTACTCCTTTTTAAAAGGCCGGCAACGCATCTGCGATTCCCTCCCTGGTGTTGCAGCTGTTCATGGGCGGCGGTAGTCACTTACCATCAGGTCAGCCGCATGCTCGTTTGCCCCCTCTCCTATAAAAAAATGCATATAGACGGCTGTTATCAAAACTAGTTAGATGAATGATCCGCTAAAATACGCCAAAATTGTAATTGGTATTGTAATGAATTGTGAAAAGACAATGAAGCGTCCCGTATTGTAATGAAAAGCCTAAACGTGTAACCCGTACGTTTGTAAGCGGTTGGGTACCGCCTCCTCTCGACATGAAGGTAATAGGGAAGATGACAGTCAGCCACGCTGCTCCATTGGCCGTGCTGGTTAGCAAACTTCACATCATGTTCTTGAAACATTATGTTCTATTTTTCAGATATGCTGATTTTCAGAAACCAACACATTTAATTGCAGTAACAAATTTCGTTGGTTAAGGTTGTGATCGAACACGGGTTGCTTGCGTACTGTGCGTGTGTACATTCAAAGCGCCCATCTGCTGAGCCAACAAAACTCATAATATTAGTTCCCATTAAATTAATTCCTACTCTCGCTACTATATCTGTTGTAGATTACTGTTGCAGTGATTTTGAGTGTATTATAACCGAAATGGGAATTTACCTTATGGCAGATTATTTATAGATCGATAAAATTCGAAGGAAGGCCTATTCTCCCTAAGCCTTGTCTGTTCAAATAAATGAATTAATTCTGCGTTCCGTTTCTCGATTTATAAAACCGCGTAAATAGAATGAAAAGATAATATTTGTTTTACACGGAATAAAATGTTAATAACACCGTTACCTCTGCAGGAATAACTTGTGTTGAAATATGTATTATTAGCACGTCAAAGTATGCAAATTTCGTTTAACGATTTCACGGAACTACACATTAGGTAAGGCCCCATCTCGGTTTGTGGCTTTGACAATTTTCCCTCCAATATTTTGCTGTTTAACCTTACAAGAACTTACTGTTAATAACTTAACTGTTATAAATTGTTTGAGTAAGTATATGTGAATAATATAAAAATAAAAGGTTATCACAGAAAGATACCTGGCTCTCACATAGATAGCTACAAAGAACAGTAATGAAAGTTTTTTCAGAACATATTATTATAATAGTAACTGGACGATCCAAGCTTGTTCGGCGCGGTGTTAGAGAATATTATAAATTTCATATGGATGATACTTACAAACTAAAGATAAACTTGAAAAGTGTACCATGTAAATGTTAATTTTCATAGAAATCATTAGATTCGCTTTCAAGTAACGAATTACATATGTATAAATATAAATATATACAATAAAGTATTAAGAATCTTAATTATCATCTTAATTTAAGATCATAATAATACAAATACTTAGGCGGTATTATAAAGTCGTGTCAATGAGTAAGATTTATAAATTTAGAAATGTTATGAACATTTTGATTATATTGTTACTTACATTTTCAATAGAGAAAATATTCTATAGCAACGAAGTGAAATTTCTACGTTGTAGTTAGTTCATGGGTCATAACGTGAGAGTGAAGCCGCGCGCATCCGATAGTTCAAAACACAAATAGTGACAGAAACATTTAGCGAGACGCGGACGCACGGAGAGCCGGGCAGCCGGCACCGTTAGGCCTCTCATATAAATGTAGATCCTCCGCCGGCCCGGTTAGTTAGCCGCGCCGCCCGCCATGAGATTGTACGCGTTAATTTTCACCCTGGCCGTGCTACACGCCCGCGCCGCCTGTATCCCGATCGAAGCGGAGAAACCCCAAGCAGATGAAATTTTTAAACATGAAGAGAGCAAGGAAACCGTCGAACAACTGAACAATGTTGACAAAGCTGAAAACAATTTACGCAATACACCCGATGTTATCCCCGTTGCGATCGTAGAAGACACAAAACCGGCGCAGGAAATAAACGAAAACTCTAACGACTATATACCAAGCGACGATGAACCGAGCATTAATATCAAACGAGTGGAGATTGACTTGGAAAACCCGGGACAACCGCAGCGGCAAGAGCACGAAACCCAGAACCCTGAATTTTACGCCGAAAGGAACAACTTGGTGTCGGACATCAGACAGAAGCTTCTAGATACTGAAAATGTTTTCAAAAAAAGCGTATCGGAGGTGAACGAAGGCTTTGAAAACTGGGTCCCGAATAGCGAACACCTAACAGTTATTCAGAAAGACATTAAGGAAATGCAAAACAAGTTCCTCACGCAGCTCTCAAATCTAAGGCAGACGCTGGAGGCTTATCTTAGCCCGCAGAGTACTAAATCGGACATAGAGGACACAGAGTATGTCGCTAATTTGAGAGACGTCAGGAATCGGTTGAAAGTATTAGAAGTCAACTTTAAGGCCGGCGTACAAACTTTATCCGAAGGTGTAAAGGCATTAGAAGCCGCGAAGGCGGATGGTGCCAGCGCAGGTGCCGCTGAAAAACCTTCCGAAACAGGCTCACCAAATCCGGCCCCAGCCAATCCGTCCGAACCTTCTACTAATCCAATAAGTCAATTCTTCTCAACGTTTTCGAATGCAATTGGAAACGCTATTAACAACATGCAGTCTACTTTCCAATCTCTCACCAACCCTCCGAATCAGACCCCTCCAGTCGGGGCTCAATCTGATGAGGCTGCTACCCCCGCCCACCCTTCTATGTGGGAGGTTTTTCAAACGCAGTTGAATCAAATTTTCAACGGAGGCCAAACCAGTGATCAAGCTCAAGCGCCTTCAGACACGCCGGTAAATCCATTTGTCCAAGCTTTCCAATCCAATCCTTTGATTCAAGGTTTCATAAACCAATTCAGACCTCAAGCAAATCCTACCCCAAATGCCGCCGAAGCCAAACCACAAAATAGTCAACCAGCACAGACTGTATCGGCGCCATCTCAACCAGTCCAGCCGCAATCTGCACAAACCCTAACTGCACAATCACAAGCTGTACAACCTGAGTCAATACAGCCTCAGCCTGAGTCGATACAACCTCAACCTGTACAGCCACAGGCAAGTCAAGAAACACAGCCCCAGCCAGCCGAACCACCTAAGGAAACCCCAGCTGCAACTGCTCAAATTGGTCCCATCAGACAAATGGTTGAAAATAACCCCTTTGTGAAGGGTATCGTACAGAGAATACAGAGTATATCAAACCCAGAGAAGCCAAGGCAGAAGGTGCCAGTACAGGCTCCCGAATCCGTTAAACCCGAGGTATCCGTGAATGAACCCATTTCTGCGACAAAAGGTCACGGCGGCGGAGGAAGTGAAGCTGGTGAGTTTGAAAATACATATTTATTACGCGTATAAAAAGTCAGTAAAATCTTTAAAAAAAGTTTCATTGCGTTCAAAATTGTTAAAATTAAAAGAATTATCTTTCAAAAAAAATACTGTGAACGGCCATTTACAAATTTTATTTGTTGCTTCTGACATCAAAATAAAAAAAATAAGTTACACAAAAATATTAAAATACAATTTAAGTGTAAATATTGCCATTAATTAGTACTTATACATAATATTTGGTTCATCTTAGTTAAAGCATGTTACATCTCTATCATAATTCAATGCATGTTATTATTTAGTAATATTTACACTACTTATCATCAAAATATATACTAAAGTAAGTTTCGTAAAACTATCTATTCTACTAGTTCACACAATAAAGATGGCGGGCGTGGCGCTAAATATTCCGTTGCGGCTTCAACGTAGAAAAATCTGTTTGAAAAATGACGTTTCACCGCCCTGTATGTTTTTTTTAAATAACGAATAAAAGTGACAAACGAGCACACAGTCCACCGGATGGTAAGTTGTTGCTGTGGCCCATAGACATCTACATCTATCCACGATTAAGAATTAAAATGCATATGCGTTATCACCCCCGAGGATTAAGATAGAATGCTTTATTTCCAGTAAAAAGGTTTTCTGGTTTTCCACACTCACCATTCGAAACAGCAGCATTAAGCTACTATTTTAAACTGGTATTCTGTAAAAGCGTGGTCCTTCCCCGGTCGAGCCGACCCATTCATGCTAGAACCATAATACAATTGAAGATTTATACGCTTTTATTTAAGGTGTTCTGAGCATGTGTTAGCCAAGCACGCCACACTCCACCCTGCTGCACGCACGTCAACTTCTACACTAACAGATGTACAGTGTTGCTAAGTCTAGCTTCGTAAAATTTATCTAAAATTTTAAAATAGCATTAAGTCGCCTTATTATTTTAGAAACGATTTTTCTTAAAAACGATTCAATTTCAAGTCAGTAAGTCACATAATCCACATTTGTATTACAAAATTTATAAAAAAATATAACTTGTCAACACTGACATCCACTTAATTCTTAATATCTTCATAAAAATCCATTATTTATTCACTTTTCTAATCCTATTTCTATTCCAGCACATATAACTGTATACCTGTTCAATGCATGATTCTTGACTTCCTTCTCTAGTCACAGCATGGAGCTCTTTCGTCACAGCCCTCATAGGTACAATAGGTGCTGTGGTGAATGGTACCACCTCGACAGTTTCCACGGCAGTTAATAGCGCCATTAATACTATAGGCATGAATATTCAGGTACTGACGAGGATGTTTTTGTAGCCATTTTGTGATTGACATATAGCGTGGGAAAATAATAAAAACTTTCGTGATAGCTGCTGCAATCTGTGTCAATCTGTTTTTTTAATTGTGACATTTATATTAACCGCTATCTAACAAAATAAATAACCTAACACCATTGAATAATTGCTTCTAATACATATTAATTACACTTATGGGTTTAACAACGCTATTTTATATTAATAATGATAAATAAATAAGGTTAATGGTATTATACTATTTCCTATGCTCGTTAAAAAGTTGCTAAACTCCGTTACAGTTCGAATTTTGTAATGATCATGACATATATTTTTTTTATAGAATAGGTAACAAACAAGAACACAGTCCACCTGATGGTAGTAATTATTTATTTATTTATTATATATCCACTTGCTACTATCATGACATGATTGCCCTAATACGATAGATAAGTCATACTTTAGTTGTGTTAGTTATAAGTCTATAAACTAAAACATAGAAATAACAAGGTAGCCTATGTGAACTCGTTCAGAGTACATCCGAATAAATCAATACACGTACATATTATATGTGTCCCGGTGTAAAGGATATAGAGAGCCATTATAAAACACTCCGTGCGGTGTTCCTTCTTAGCCCTTATGGCGCGTCTCCACCGAAGTTTTGTTGTCAACACAACATTTGCCAACACGTTTTGCCAACAAATGTTTCTGTCAACAAGCGTCTCCACCGAGGGAACAAATGTCGGTAACAAGCGTATTCCTTTGATGTTGCCGCCGAAAATCGAAACAAGTTTTGTTGGCAAATGTTGTGTTGACAACAAAACTTTGGTGGAGACACGGCTTTAAAGATGACAACGTATACTGAAACAAAAAATGCTATTGTTTGTTTGAAGTTGGTTTCAGGTGTCGATTGAGTGCAGTAGCCACTTACCATCAGCTGGACTTTAAGTTCCTTTGTCACTTCGTTTAAAAACAAAATATTTTTAAAATTAAAAATTTTGTACAACCGACTTCAATATAAATTATTAAGAATAACTCAAACACTATAGGTCAGACCTTGATCAAATTTATACGGGACCACATGACAAGCACCAGCTTTCAAATAAAAAAAGAATCATCTAAATCGGTTCACCCAGAAAAAGTTTGAGTTGACACTCATAAAAAAAACATACAGTCGATTTGAGTACCGTCTCCTTTTTGAAGTCGGTAGAAAAACAGGATAACATCATCGAGCTTTATTACACGTGGGATATTAAAATACATTTACAACATCTGATCCTGATTTAATTAAATAAATACCTAATAAAGATCCAATCTATAAGCAGGGTTTTAGACCATGGCACATGGCACACTGCACTTATGCGTGTTGGCAGACTTTACATAACATGGAAATATTTTTATAACATATCAACGACATGCAGGTTTCCACACAATATTTTCCTTCACCGAGCATGTGGGATAAGACGTAAGGACCTTAAAGAAAATACCCTACTTTTTTTAAAGGCCGACAACACACTTATAAGCTTATAACCTCTTGTGTTGCAATAATTGTTCATAGGCGGCGGTAGACACCCGTCAGTAGAGCATGCTCGGTTTTCTCTTCTATTTAAAAAGTCAGCGATACAAATTGCGATTAACAAATTCAATGACGCCGTGAAGAATCGAGTCTTATATCTCAGGAGTGACAATGTATCTGTTTTGGATTCTTAATCGATGTATATATCCACATGGGCCACAGCATCTTAGTTTACCATCAGGTGTACAGTGTGATCTGTGCTCATTTGTTTACCCATATTCTATAAAAAAAATCTTTTAAATCTGCCTTTTAGTTTTTGTTTTCTACTAATGTTATAGGCATTACATAGTATAAACCTTTGCTAGGAAGTAAGCTTTAAAAACTACTGCAATTATTGGTAAAATACAATAAATATGAGATTAAAATGTACATAGCAGATTGATAATCTTTCTTTACAACTTTTTTCTAACAGCTTAGAAAACTAAAAAAAAATTAAAACACGCTTTAATTTAAATATCTAAAACTATGTCAAAAATACAATTTTTAAATAATTTTTAACCAAAATTTGTATTTATGTATCATAATAATATTTATTTTATTTTATGTAGCAGCTACCGAAATATGTGGTGTAAGTAAGAGAACGAATGAAAGGAAAAATAACATGTTATGGTGGGATGATGAGGTACGGATGGAAGTTGAAGCAAAGAAGAAAGCATGGCTAGATTTACTAGCAACCAAGGCTAGTAATTTTAGCGGTATGAATGATGATATTGAGAGAAAAAAGGCAGTCTTTAGACATCTAAATAAGAGAGTAAAAGAAGTATTTGAAAGCAAAAAGCAAAAAAGAACGGATAAGAATGATAGAAGAATATCGGATAACTTCCAGGCAAATATTAAAATGTTCTGGAAACTCGTAAGAACTGCCAGAAGACATTCAAAACAGCCTAGAATAAATGCTATACGAGACCAGAATGTTTGTATTCTAAATGACGAAGTTTCGAGTTTAAGGAGATGGAAGGAATGAGTGATGAGACGTTTGAATTAAATGAAATAGAAATTAAGAAAGAAGAGAAAATAGAGACATAACTATAGATGAAATAATGAAAGCAATAAAAAGTATGAAAGCAGGTAAGGCAGCCGGATATGATAGAGTATCACTCGAAATGCTAAGGGCTGGAGAATAAGTGGTGGTAGACCTGCTGCACACCTTGTTTAATTTACGTTGGGAACTTAAACAGGTACCGGGAAAGTGGTGCAAAGCCGTGATAGTTCCAACATATAAAGGAAAAGGATCGCGGCAGGACTATAAAAACTACCGTGGTATCAGCCTTCTTAGCATTGTGGGAAAACTGTATGCTAAGGTACTAATTGAAAGAGTTAAGAAAGAAACTGATGAAAAAATTTGGGATGTGCAAGCGGGATTTAGAAAGGGAATGTACGGATCAGGTTTTTTCCATGCGCATGGTCGCGGAGAAGTTTTTAGCCAAAAACCAAAAAGTTTTTTGTGCGTTCGTGTACTTGGAAAAGGCTTATGACAGAGTTGGACATGGGTGTGTTATGGCAAACACTGAACTCAACTCGAGCGTTGGTTTGAGACAGCCATTGAAGTCTATATAGGGACTTTAGTGCTTGTGTGAGGATCAACGGGGCCTACTCGGTCTGGTTTAGCATCTATAGAGGAATCAGATAGGGCTGTGTGGCTTCCCCGTGGCTGTTCAACCTATTTATGGACAGTTGTTTGGAAAATTTGAAAGTTGAAGAATGCGATTTAAGAATGGGTGAGTTACATTAATGAACAGGACATTAAAAGAAAAGGGAATGAACGCAAGTAAGTTCGTCTTACTTATGTTACGTTATGGTTTTTGAAAAAGAAGGAAGTAAAACGATATGTGAAATAAGAATAGAAGGGGAGTTGGTCGAGCAAGTAGATGAGTTTGTGTATTTGGGATGTGTATTTAGCAGGGATAGTAGATATGATAAGGATATAGAACGACGAGTGAACGCAGAAAATAGAGTGAATGGGGCTCTACACTCTATTGTGTGAAGTCAGATTGTGTACAAAAAGGCACGTATGTCAATTCATAATGCTGTGTTATTCCCTACTTTAATGTATAGTAGCGAAAAGTTAGGTGTGGCAGAAGAAGCACAAGAGTAGAATAAATGCTGTAGAAATGCGGTCATTAAGGAGTATGTTAGGGCTGAATCTGAATGACAGGATGAGAAATTATGTGATAACAGAAGAGTGTGGTTTGTAAGATGATGTTATGACCAGGATTAAGAAAGGAATGCTTTGGTGGCTTGGTCATGTAGAAAGAATGAATGAGGAAAGTGTGACAAAGCTTATTTATGTTGCAAAGGTGAACGCCAGAGTCGGGAAGGGACGTCCTAGGCGAAAGTTTATCGATGAAATTGGCGATATATTGAAAATGGGCCAAATTAAGAGTACCTTTAACCGACGAGCGTGTATGCGTAGGTATATAGATGTGGAGGAAGCGAGAGAGGTGTGTCAGGATCGTGCCAAATGGAAGTCCGTAGTCTCTGCCTACCCTCCTGGGTGAGAGGCGTGAGTGTTTATATATTTATGTAATCAATCAATTATCACTAAAAATATTTTGTGAATCTGTCCCCGATTTTTTTTTATAGGATAGGGTGACAAACGAGCACACAGTCCACCTGATGGTAAGTGGTTGCTGTGGCCCATAGACATCTACATCTAGCCTCGTTTGCGAATCAAAATGCAGATGCGTTGTCACCCGTGAGGACTAAGATGGAATGCCTCTTTTCCAGTAAAAAGGATCGCCGGTTCTCTATACTCACTATACGAAACACAGCAGTGTTAAGATGCTATTTTACGATGGTATTCTGTGAGAGCGAGGTCCTTCGAGCCCCCCCGGTCGAGCCGACCCATTCATGCTACAACTATATTACTAATATCTAAAATCGAATATATCATTATAATATATAATATATACAATAATTCTATTAAAACTATTTTCAGGCGATAATATCGACAGCGACAGGGCAGCCATGAGCGTACCCAGCGAGGAAAAGGTCGAAAAAGTTCCACAGAAGTGTGAAAAAGATAAGGATGTAGATCTAGCAAACGACAAGAAGGAGAAAGAAGCTGTACCACTGCCTGATAAGACTGAATAGGTCCATAGTGTGATAGTAAAAGTAATAATTTATTAATTATCATATAATGATTACAGTAAAATGTAAATAAGTATTAAAGTATAAATTAAAAAGACATTTCTTCAGTTTCTTTTAAATAACTCGAATCTATTCCTTTCTAAATCCTTTTTCTTATATAAGAATCGACCATTTTATCAATGTAATTCTGCTTTCTATCACAAGGCTGTAGGATTTGTAGTCAGCATTTTTGATTTTAAGATGGGCGGTCAGTCAACAAGCCTTATTTGTCATTACAACGTGCAGTACGATTCTGTAACTCAAGTAGGAATCATTTAATGGGGTTGTTATAAACTAATTTGCATAATTCCGCGTAAAAAAAGAAAATGATGTGTCCTGTCCAGTTTAAGGGCACTTACCGGCCAACCTCCGCAGAGTCTACTTCACCTAAGGATGCCTCGTGTAGAGGGGAAACACGTGTCGTATTTTCGAGAGTGGTGTGTCGTGCCTAGTGTGGTGGTGCTGGAGATGGCAGTGCTGGGATTGACAATGACGGGTATAGTGCGTGCGATTGAGGAAGGGTGGGAGGTCCCCTTAAAACTGGGCTGGGGACATCATTTTCTTTCTTTACGCGGAATTAAGCAAATTAGTTTATAACAACCCCATTATAACGGATTTCCGCAAAGTAACGCCTCTATTAATTAGGAATCATTTGTTGTTGGAAATCACTCCACACCTACATTTACATTTATTATTAACTGCCTCGTTGGTCAATGCTGATCATAAGGTCTTGGGATTTCCTCACAAGGAATTCTCAGAAGCAGCCGGAGAAGTTGGTGGTGTTTCATCCCCGTGCCTCGGAGAACACGTAAAGCCGTAGGTCCTGCACCTGTTCCCTCTACGATCTCCGACTATCTACACTCACCACACGAAACACAGAAGCATTAAGCTGCTATTTTATTACATATAACAAGGATCTGATCTTCATTATCTACCCGTAGCACTTCAGGTTGGGTTGGCCTATTTTTAAGAGGCATTTGAAGAAATGTTCGATCGCAATAAACAAATATCTCATTCCATTAACTCTGCTCGTTACCAGTAGTGGAATTACACAACTTTAGAGGGTCATTGTGCTACCTAACGATAGCAATGACATTTTTCTAACATTTCCTTTAAGGTCGACAATTACTCGATGATGATATAGTACCATTGGGGAATTGATGACTTACATTTCGGCTAGTATTCCTGAAAACCCTTAAACAAAATTATATAACGGCAGTGATGACTAATGGAAACGAAACGTAATCTTTCATTGAGTAATGAAACTCGGAGAGCTATCGAAAGAACGATGCTTTATCTGGCTTGCGTTGGCTGCGTCGTTGGTCTACAGAATACAGATCGTATGGGCAACTAATGTCAGGTTAGAATCCTGGGGGATCCTGGGTCTGGCGAATATTGGTTGAATGATGGGACTTTTGCGAATAGTTGCTGTTTTTCATTAAAAAAAAAAATTACAGCAACATTTACCCTCTTGTCAAATTAATTCAATAGAAATAGATAGATAACAAAAATATAAACAATTTTTATTAAATACTAGCGATCCGCCCCGGCTTCGCACGGATGTTTTCTGGATCTTGACAACAGCGCCACCTACCGGGTCCAATTGTGAATCGTTCAGATTTTCCAGGGACGACACTCAAACGTTTCAGCCATTTTCGAGTTTTGCGAGACTAACGGACAGCAATTAATTTTTATATATAGAAATAATAATAATATTAATATATGTTTATTCATTTCGTTCATACATTTGTAAAAAAATGTTTAGACCTTCTAGTAAATAAATAAGTAGGTAGGTACTTGTAGCAGAAGGTCTCGCTCTTCCACAACAATTTCGTTTTACTAAATAAACATAAAAATTAGACAAATGAAATAACAATAATTAAGAGATATATAGAGTTAGATTTTATAGATTATGAATAATACTTATTGGAAGTCATTCTTAAGTTTAATTTACCTTCGGACATACCTCCGTCCTGGAAAGAACCACAAAAAAAAACCAAGCGGGACATTTAAAAAAAAAAAGGAACAGTTTACAATCGCGTTTACCGCTAAAAAGAACCCCTTTGTCGTATCTCCTCAGTTTCAAGGCACTCCCCTTCTTGCCTCAGCCAGTATCGGTATCCTCGGAGTCGACATATCGAGTGACGTGCAGTTTCGTGGTCACTTGGAAGGGAAGGCCAAATTGGCCTCTAAAAAGCTTGGCGTGCTCAGCAGAGCGGGACAGTATTTCATGCCGGCACACCGCCTGCTACTTTACAAGGCGCAAGTTCGGCCTCACATGGAATACTGTTTCCATCTCTGGGCAGGGGCTCCCCAGTGCCAGCTCCTTCCACTTGACCGCATCCAACGCAGAGCGGCTCGAATTGTCGACGACCGAGCCCTTTCCGATCGGCTCGATTCATTGGCACTGCGAAGAGATGTTGCATCCCTTTGCATTTTCTTTCGCATCTACCATGGGGAGTGCTCTGAGGAATTGTTCGGATTAATCCCAGCCGCCAAATTTCACGAACGCACATCGCGGCAGAACTCCCGATACCATCCACACCATCTGGATGATTGGCGGTCCACCACTGTGCGATTTAGAAGATGTTTTCTTCCTCGCACGACCTCCTTGTGGAATCGATTACCATCAGCGATTTTTCCGGACCGATACGACTTAGGCACCTTCAAGAAAAGAGCGTACTCCTTTTTAAAAGGCCGGCAACGCATCTGCGATTCCCCTGGTGTTGCAGTTGTTCATGGGCGGCGGTAGTCACTTACCATCAGGTGAGCCGCATGCTCGTTTGCCCCCTCTCCTATAAAAAAAAATAAACCTAATAAGTTACACAATTAACTACACAAACAAATTAGCTTGGTAGTGATCACCTGATTCCCAAAGGCTTTTTTTATAGGAGAGGGGGTAAACGAGCATGCGGCTCACATGATGGTAAGTGACTACCGCCGCCCATTAACAACCGCAACACCAGGGGAACCAGGGGTATTGCAGATGCGTTGCCGGCCTTCTAAAAAAGAGTAGGCTCTTTTCTTGAAGGTCCCTAAGTCGTATCGGTCCGGAAAATCGCTGGTGGTAAACTATTCCACAAGGAAGTTATGCGAGGAAGAAAACATCTTCTAAATCGCACAGTGGTGGACCGCCAATCATCCAGATGGTGTGGATGGTATCGGGAGTCCTGCCGCGATTTGCGTTCGTGAAATTTGGCGGCTGGGATTAATCCGAACAATTCCTCAGAGCCCTCCCCGTGGTAAATGCGAAAGAAAATGCAAAGAGATGCAACATCTCTTCGCAGCGCCAATGAATCGAGCCGATCGGAAAGGACTCGGTCGTCGATGATTCGAGCCGCTCTACGCTGGATTCGGTCAAGTGGAAGGAGCTGGCACTGGGGAGCCCCAGCCCAGAGATGGGAACAGTATTCCAAGTGAGGCCGAACCTACGCCTCGTAAAGCTGCAGGCGAGGTGCCGGCGTGAAATACTGTCCCGCCCTGCTGAGCACGTCAAGCTTTTTAGAAGCCAATTTGGCCTTCTCTTCCAAGTGACCACGAAACTGCACGTCACTCGATATGTCGACGCCGAGGATTCCAATACTAGCTGAGGCAACAAGGGGAGTGCTTTGAAACTGAGGAGATACGACAAAGGGGTACTATTTAGCGGTAAACGCGCAAACTTGTGTCTTCTGAGGATTAAACTGGACTAGATTTAGTCGCCCCCAATCCGAGACTTAGTTCAGGAAAGACTCGACTTCAGACACAAGTTTGTTCCGGTACTCGGCGACGTTTTCCCGAGAAATATTGCCACGGCCGGTGTATAGAGCATCACCACTGCCGTCATTGCAACATATCATTGATATGCAGAAGAAACAGCGTTGGTGATAGCACGCAGCCTTGTGGAACACCAGCGTTAATAGGCTTGTAGTCGGAGCATGCACCGTCTATAACGACCTTGATGCTTCGATCTGCAAGAAAGCTGGTGATCCAATTGCACAATTTCTCGGAAAGCCCATAGGTAGGGAGCTTCGAAAGAAGCGCTTTGTACCAAACCCGATCCAAGGCCTTCGCAATGTCCAAACTAACGGCCAATGCCTCCCCCTTGGACTCTACTGCCTCCGCCCATCTATGAGTCAAGTAGACCGGAAGATCACCAGCTGATCGACCCCGACGAAAACCTTATTGGCGGTCATTAATCAGCTGGTGATCCTCAAGGTACCGTATGAGGTGGCAGTCTAACGGATTCCCTTATTTTGGAGAACAATGGGGTTATGGCGATAGGCCTGTAGTTGGACGAGTCTGAGTGGTCGCCTTTTTTAGGGATCGGGTGGACAAAAGCTGTCTTCCATGATTTCGGGACTACGCCTAGGGAGTAGGAGTACCGGAAAAGACGCGTTAGAACCGGTGCCAACTCCGGAGCACACGTCCTCAGCACAATTGGAGGGGGGGGGGGAGAAGCAAACCCGCCCCCATGGGTAGGATGCAAGGAATTATTACTCATAATTTTTTGAATATTAGAAAAACCTCTGCCCCTGAAACGGGGCACCCCAGTGCCAACTCCTTCCACTTGACCGCATCCAACGCAGAGAGGCTCAAATCATGGACGTTGATGTTGCATCCCTTTGTATTTTCTATCGCATCTACCACTGGGAGCGCTCTGAGGAATTGTTCGGATTAATTCAAGCCGCCAAATTTCATCAACGTACATCGCGACAAAAATCACGACACCATCCACACCATCTGGATGCTTGGCGACCCACCACTGCGAATTTTAATAGGATTTGATTACCATCAGGTGAGCCGCATGCTCGTTTGCCCCCTCTTCTATACAGAAAAATTACTCTTTTCTGTATAGAAGAGGTTCTGTATAGATCTTTTCTTAATAAAGTTTTAAAAATTGGCGGATGAGAAATTTTATAGTAAAAGCGTATATCGTCCTAAGATGAATGTGACTTATGCTCTAGACTAGATAGAGAATTAAC